GGCATTCATGGCTGCTATCCAGAACCTGTCTGCCAATGTTCCTCTGCCCGCCTTCTTCTACCAGAACCACCATTGGCGTATCTACTACGACGACCGCCTCCAAAAGCACACTCAGTTCAACGACGAGTACATCTACGCCTTTACGTGGGAGGACTCGCAGGTCGATGAGCGCCTGCTCAAGCTTGGCGCTGATGATGTTGTTCTGGCCATCACTAGCGCCGGTGACAACATTCTCTCTTACGCCATGCAGAGCCCTGCGAGAATCCACGCCGTTGACCTGAATCCCACACAGAACCACCTCCTCGAGCTCAAGGTAGCATCTTACACGGCTCTCCCGTATGAGGACTTCTGGAAACTCTTCGGCGATGGCAAGCACCCTGACTTCCGCACCCTTCTCCTCAACAAGCTGTCTCCGCACCTGTCTAGCCGTGCCTTCCAGTACTGGCTCAAGAACGTCCACGTCTTCACCAACAACAAGGGCTATGGTCTCTACGACACCGGTGGCTCTCGCCACGCTATCCGCTGCTTCAAATGGCTGACCCGCATATTCGGCTGCGCTGGTGCTGTGAAAGACTTCCTCGCCACCAAGACACTGAATGAACAGCGCGAAATCTGGCACACCAAGATCCGTCCCGCTCTTCTATCGAAGCTCGTCAGCACGGTTGTCGTCAGTCAGGAGAGCTTCCTCTGGTCTGCCCTTGGCGTCCCCAAGAATCAACTTGCCATGTTTGAGAACGACCACTACGAGAGCGATGCCGTCAAGGGTCCCAACCCCATCTCTCGCAAGACCCGTTCCCACGCTGTCTGGCGCTACATGATCGACACCCTCGATCCCGTCGCTGAGGAAACCCACATCGCCACCAACAACCCGTACTACATGGTCTCCATGACGGGCCAGTTCACCCGCCGCTGTCACCCAGACTACCTCGCCGAGAAGGCTCACGCCAAGCTCTCGCGTCCCGGCGCCTTTGACGGCCTGCGCATCCACACGGATGAGATTGACGAGGTCATCAACCGCATCGCGCCCAGCACGCTGACCGTCGCCGTCGTCATGGACAGCATGGACTGGTTCGACCCGGACTCCTCGGCCGCGGCTGCCCAGATCACCAAGCTCAACCGCGCGCTCAAGACGGGCGGCCGCGTGCTTCTGCGCTCGTCAGGGCTGAGCCCCTGGTACATCAAGGTGTTTGAGGCTCATGGCTTCTCTCCCAAGCGTGTTGGTGCTCGCACCCCGGGATCTTGCATCGACCGTGTCAACATGTATGCGTCGTGCTGGATCTGCACGAAGACGGAGAACCTCCCTCCCCCGACGCCGGAGATGGACCGCGTGGGCGGCTCGGAGATTACGAGTTTCTCTCTGTAGATGTGAGGTCATGATCACAGATGCCACTGTTTATGGGAATTTGATGGGGAGCGCTGGGGTTGAATGTGATGATTTATGAGTGTTGGTTTGTGCGGAATATCACGGGTGTTTCTTAGGTGTTGCTTAAGCGTTGAAAATATACGAAAATAATGATGGTCCATGCATTCGTTGCTTGCTGCATGTCAATACTGGTGTTACCCACACATGATGCCCTGTAAACCACAATGTCAAGAATTGGACGACGCCCATTCCATGTCTTCATTCTTGACTTGTGTTTAGTGATTCACTTCTGCGTCCTATTATCACTCCTTTTCTTCATATACCTTAACCTCTTTTCATTCTCATTCCATTGCATACCTTGTGTCTGTAGGTAGGGTACCTTACCTTGGTTGGAAGGTAGTCCAGTAGTGGGCATTACACACAAGAAGCCCGAGCTACCTACATACCTCCTTTGGTAGCACTTGTCTAGGACTTACAACTCAGGTTGAGCACCACGGGTCGATACAGGCTTGGAACTTACCTAGAAATCATTGTCAAGGTACCTAGGGCGTCGAATAGACACTGCAATGGATGCCATAATAAGCGTGTGCTCTTAGAAGTCGCCGTCGTCCAGAACTCTTCCTTATCCCAAATCCACTGGCAAAGAAGGGACCACCAAGTACCTTTCTGCTAGCGTCGCTGCCGTGGTACATCCCCAGACTTTGCGTTCAGGACACTACACGGGTGCGCCCATCAACTTCCAATGCAGGGGGCGCTCGACCCATACTTTTACCACAATCAACCAATCCAAGAAGCTTGCTGGCGTGCCGGGCGGCGCGATCTCGACTTCCAGTGACCCTTCGACGTCAGCTCTCGATACTCCAACTTCGACATCTCTTTCCATCTCAACGTTCGAAGACGACGACCTGCATGATCTAGCCTCATCACGAGCTGGGTCTCACTTGAGAAAACTGACGGCAGACAACAAGCGATGCCTCCCGCCGCGAGCCAGAAGGGCACCGGCAAGAAGGCCGGGCCCAATGCCATGCGACAGCGCAGCCGCAATACGACCCCGAGCTCCGTCGTTCCATCTGCCAGCCTGCCCCCCATCGAAGCCGTCGACACCGACTATCTCGAATTACGCGTCGAACAGTTCCGTAATCTCAACTATGACGACCTTGTTGACCAGGGCGCGTCTAACGCCGTCATCCCGGACTCCAAGAGCCTTGATGGCATGATAGCTCGCCTCCAGCGCTTGCAGGAGACCATAGACAGACGGAGCAATTTCTGCGACAGGGGAATGCGCATATTGGCGAGCACCCGTAAGCAGTATATCAACGACGTCGACGAGGACGCCAAGGAAGGTGTCAAGGCCGAGGGCGATTCCAAAAAGACAGGCAAGACGAACAAGAAGAAGAGGAAGGCCGCAGATACCCTGGCACCCCAGGATGCAGCAGTCGGTAGGTCACCAACCTCTTTCGGCCTTGCCTGGCCTAGTGTCCTTTTCACTTTTTTTCGTGCTCTTGGATTATTCGTGGGGCATGCGACACTTATTGGGATTTCACTTGTTTACCGCGAATCATTCTCGTATTCACCACCGTACTGACTTCACCCGCTGCTCCAGAGCGGTCATCCCCGCTTCGGGAATCCACTAAACCACGAAAGCTTTCGCGCGACAACGACTCGGCCAGTTCTTCCCTGTCACCCGTCGCACCCGCCACTCCGTCAGCAATGGAAGTCGACAACAAAACAAAAGCAGAGGAAAATGAAGAAGAGGAGGAGAGCTCAGAAGACGAGGGCGCGCCGCCAAAAAAGGCACAGCCCGCTGCTCACACTTTCGGCGACGATCCCTCAACCTTCCCCGACCCGACTGTCTACGAAATTCTCCCAACGAAACCCGGCATGTCAGCAGACGAGCTGAGGCAGATTTACTCTGTCGCCGTGTTCCCCCAGAGCGATCTGGCCGATCTCATCGCAGGAGATCCGCCCGACAAGGATTTTAGTAGCGCCAAGCCCAGTAACCAGATCAGCTTTTCGACCTTCTCGACGTACATGGAACCATACTTCCGACCATTCGCCGAAGAGGATCTAGCATTTTTGAGGGAGCGCGGCGATCGCGTGACGCCCTTCCACATGCCTAAGAGGGGCAAGAAACACTATACCGAGATTTGGGCAGAGGAGGATGGCGCCATGTCACTCGACAAGCCCCCGAACGCGCGCGAGCAGTTGGCGCCCAACCAGGCCCGTGGTGCCATTGATAACATGGACGACGAGGTGGCGGAAACCGATAAGCTGTCCGTGGGACCGCTGCTCTCGCGGCTCATGCAGGCGATGCGACCCGAAAACCGACCGCAGGCCGATGAAGAGAAGACAGGCGTCAATGGTATTACCAACGGGGACACGGCCATGAATGGTAGCGTAAACGGCGACAACGGAGATGCGCAGCAGAGTTTCAGCGACGATAAGGCGCCGCCAGTACCCCCGGCAGCATTCATGCCGGAATCGAACTCAGAGGCGTGGAAGAAGGCGTCACATCCAAAACTAGAATACACGCAGGTCGATGAACGAATCAAGCAAGAGCTGAGACATATTGGCTTCTTGCCGCAGGAAGGAAACTTTGAGGGCGAGTACGACGGCGCATTCGACGACGAAGTCGCAGCCAGATTACGACTCCTACAAGGTCGCCTGCGAGAGCAGATGCTCATCAACGGCGCACGCAAAGCCAGACTTACCGAGCTTGTCAAAGAGCGCATGGCCCACCAGGAGTACCAAACCATTCTGGAGGATCTTGATTCCCAGGTCCAGGCCGCGTATCTGAAGAGGACGCGTACTATGGGCAAGAGTAAGAAGAACAAGCGTCCCGGCGGCGCGGGAGGCGGAAGCCATGCCGTCGGCGGCGCGGCTGGCATGGCCAGGCCGGGCATTGGCGATATGACCAAGACGCTCATGGAGCGGCGCAAGCGTTGGATCGATACTATAGGATCAGTATTCGATGACGAGAAACTGGGCAAGGTTCCGCGCAGCTCAGAGCCCGACTCGTCGATTTTCAGGGCGGGGATCATGGGTGATTTGATGAAGAAGGAGAAGGCACAATGGGACGAGGAGGTTGAGGAAGAGTAAACGGTTGCTCTGCGATGTTCAGTGTCTAATGAATCAGTTTGACACCTGTTATGACTAGTATCTCTACTTTATGGGTTCGGTTCCGGTGGGAGGCAGGCAATACGACTTTTTACTGGGCACAGTCGACGGCGTTTGGACATTCATAGAAGCAGTGAGAGAGAGAGGTCTAGTGCGAACGTATAAGGTGTTTTGGGAGTTATTGATAGCAACTATGGCTTGACCAGGTCAGAAGAACAAAGATACCGGTTACTCAACCCAGAACTGCATCCACAGCCAACGTTTCGCCATATCCAAGTCGACCAAGTCAGCCTCGACATAGGCGCCCCTCTACCTCCTTGAAGATACGTCTGCGTTTACCAAACACTGCCAGGCGCCGTGGGCTCGCCGTTCAATGGCCCTGCACCTCTCCAACTCGGATTCATTGAAAGCCAGAAGCCAAATTGTCGGTTGTAAAACCCTCGAAAAGGCGGATTAAGCTCCTCGACGGCTTATCTAAACATCCACCCCTTTTGGCTTCCTTTTCTCGTTGTCGATTGCTCTAAAACGGATAAGGGTGCGGTATGATGGATTCGCTGCTCGTCCTACGGCACTTATCCAAGCTGCCGTATTTGTTGTGAGCTGGTAACGTTAGCCAACCCCGTCGTCAAACACTCGAAAAGATGGGAAAGGGGCTACTCACTGGCTTCCCACCACGCCGCTGAAACCATGCCTCTGTTGCAACCAAGGGCGGATTCGAATTGCCACACGAGCTCGCCGTCGCGTGCGTTGTCTTTGCCACAGTAGTGATGATACGCATCATGAGACCAAGCCGCGCAGCTGCAAGTCGATGATAAGCAATCGATGAAGCTTCAGAAGAGTCTACATAAGAGGGGGACACTCACTGGACTCCAAACTGTTGCAGTCCTTTCCAGAATTTGCTGCATATCTCGTCAATGTCTGCATTGTCGGGGAGGTTTGTCGTTCTGCCTGAGTATCGGCGAGACGAAGGCGCGAACTTGGTAACCCCATAGAGGTTCATGAAGCATGAAGCCTCCGGGTTGCGCATTCTGCCTTTCCCGCCAGTAGGTTCTGCGCTGACGAGGGAGAGGAGGGTCACCCCGAGTACGAGGAAAGCTAGCTTTGAGACCTTCATGCTTGACAGGAGATTGATGACTGAACTTGGTGGGATGCTGATGTTTGAACCTGATGGGATGCAGATGTTCGAGATCATTGCTGTGTTGACGGTCACGAGAAGAGTCTTATATAAAGGTGGAAGGTTCACGACTAGAGAAGATCAGGTTGACTATCGAGTTGTCTTCGCAAATTCCAAACTCTCTGTGCAGTGGCTGCTTGAACTGCAGAGATGACATCGTGGCTGCTGCACTCTAGAAAAGTATTGACATCGAAGTGGAACGGCACATCTTTCTCGTTCTGTTTGCGGCTGAGGCAGAACGGAAAACCAAACAGACTCACTTCTTCTCGCAGCCAATTCTGCCGTACTTGTTCTTGGTAGCCTCCCACCATGCGGCCTCGAGCATCCCCGTGTTGCAAGCCAGGCCGGTCTCGAATTCCCACTCCAGCGTGCCCTTCTCGGTGCCTTCGCGGCAGAACTGTTTGAACAGCCCAAAAGACCAGACCCTGCGCGGCGTGTTAGTCGGCAAGCAGGGCGTCAAATAGTTCCCCAACATCTGCAGGACAGAGGAGACAGGAGAGGGAGAGATCTTACTGGCACATCCAGAAGTTCCTCAACTCCATCCATAGCGTGTGGCACACTTTGGGAATATCATCCTCAACATTATACGCATTGACAATGTACCGGTAGTTGACCGGAACCGGCTGGCCGCCGATGTGAATCTGGCCAACTTTCTTCCGATGGCACCAAGGTTGTTGAGTATCCCGGTTGTCCAGGCCTGCGAGGACGGAGCAGATTGTGCTGGCGATGAGGAGTGCCGACAATTTCATCATGGTCAGAGGAAACCCGGGGCGGCCCAAAAAAGTTGGCGATGGTCAGAAGCAGAGTTGACCAGAGGCGAGAAAAAGGCATGTGATGTGTATTTTTATCAAGAAGAGAGTACGGTTGTTTACCCATATCCACCCATCCTGGTTACACGGATCGTGCGTCTTTGGATGCTTTCGTGGTGACAATCACACGTAGTTCGACTCGAGTAGACAAGAGAAGAATAAAATGGCAGTGGCGACAGCGAGTGTTGTACAGACCATGAAAAGGTTAAGTAAATATTTCTCATTCTCAGACTTGAGCTTTTTTGACTCAAGCCTTAGAATGAATCGCCGGAAACAACACGACGAAACATCTTCAATGAGTTGAATGAATGACCAAGTCTTTTGCAGTCACAAGATGGAGAAGCATACCGGCCTTCTTGGCCATCAGATGTGGCCACACGGGTTGCGGATGCTGGATTACAGGCAGCACGAACATGCGGAAAATGGAAAGAAATCCAAACTCCTGGAAAAGTTGTCATACATCTTGGCATAGTCGAGGCCCCTCGGAAACAACCTGTTCTTACTTTTCACAATCATCCCGGCAACGGCATTGGCCCTCCTGAACAGCCAGACGATGTCCAATATGGCAAAGTGTCTTGACCCCGAGAATATCCAAGGTATGCACTGCTTCCTATTGGCAGAAAGTCTCGGTTTGTTATCTGGCGTAAACTCCAAGTGCCCGGCCATGGTGAAGCTCGCCTAGCGAGGCTTCGACATCCAAACCAACATGTTGGGTATTCAGTCTGTTGTCGGCTTCTTTTCAGGTCATCGCGGCATTCAGGGCTACGAGGGATGCAATTTCGTTATAGTTGTCTTTTACATTGTCGCTTTGTCGCTTCTCTCTTTGACGAGCTCCCTGAGAAGGAGAACTGCCCGGATCAGAGGTTACATGAAGTACGGCCTCGGGCTCCAAGCCTTTGCTTGGGCTTTGTTCTGGATAGCACGTCTTCGTACCCTTAACTCTTCGCCATCGTCCATTTCGACTCATATAGTACTCGTACTGGCAAGACTTTCTTCAACCGACGTGGGTGCCAGGTCTTTGAGAAGTAAGTGATAGGCAGTCAGTTGAAGCCCCGGAGATACGGCAAGCGTGGGAGGTTTCAATGGAGACGGGAGGTGGTGTTCGGGAAGTCGTCGACGGCCCGGTGCATGAGACGGCGCTCAAGCTTATCGCCTAAAATTGGACGTAATGCCTATTAGACAGAAGCGAGGCGTGTATTGGTGGTTCTGTGCCTGTCGCCCAAGGGCCTTCCTTGTGTGGGGTAGCTGCTCGACGGTGGGCAGTTGGTGGGGGGCCTATCAGAGCCTGCCCTTCTGGGAACTCACCCAAGGGCCCGGGTCTTATCAATCATTCCACTTGGCCGCCGGTCCAGGCCCGAGGGCGGCCACCAGCGCTTTTTTTTCTTCTTTCCTCTTTCTCCCGTCTGATTGACGGGCCTGGGCGCGGGCGCACATGCTGACTGCCGCTATCTCTGGCAGGAGGTGCTGGGGGACGGGAACTCTGGTCTGGTCTGGGGGGTGGGCGCCACATTACCGTCTTTAGCTGACTTGAGGAATTCAATCTCTTTCCGTCCTTCTCATCAACAACTTCCCCAGACTTTTGTTTGTTTTGCGTGTCATTGAGAGATTCTGGGTTGAAAGTCCCAGCTCGCCAGGATGCATCTCGTACCAAAAGAGGTCTGTACCCCAACTGTCTCTCTCGCGCGCTCTCTTACACATCCCTGTCGCCTTGGCGGGCCAGAGCAAACTGAACGGCACGTTAACGGGGGACGTCGTGATTGTAGCTCGATAAGCTCACCATTTCTCAATTGGGCTTCCTGGCCCAGCGGCGCCTTGCCCGGGGCGTCAAGCTTAACCACTCGGAAGCAACGGTACGAAAACCCCTCTACGCGGTGATATCGCTGCCGTCTCATCTTGCGTGCACTAACACCAACCGCAGGCTCTCATCGCGAACAACTTGCAAGAGCTCATCCGCGATGGCAACCATACCGTCGCCGACCTCATGAGCCTGGGTGCCACCATGTTGGGAAGACGGCATGTTCTCCCCGCGGTGTGTAGTACCCTCCATGAAATCCAAGTCGAGGGCACCTTTCCCTCAGGAACCTACCTCGTGACAGTCCACAGTCCCATCTCGACAGACGATGGTGACCTGGCCCGCGCCTTATACGGGAGCTTTCTCCCTATCCCTAGTAACGACCTCTTTGCCTTGCCCGAGGTGACAGTATATGAACCCAAGAAGCAACCTGGCGCTGTGGTTGTCGCCTCAAAACGAGTCACACTCAGCGAGGGCCGCAATCGCATCAGACTCAAGGTGACGAGTAGAGGTGACCGTCCCATCCAAGTCGGCTCACATTACCACTTCATCGAGACGAATCCCCAGCTGGAGTTTGACCGTGAAAAGTCGTATGGCTACCGCCTGGACATCCCGGCCGGCACCTCAGTGCGTTTCGAGCCTGGCGACGTCAAGACTGTGACGCTTGTCGAGATTGGAGGACACAAGGTCATCCGCGGCGGCAACAGACTGGCAACAGGAGGCGTCGAGCTTTGGAGGGCAAAGGAGATTGTCGAGAAGCTTCAGCTGGCCGGCTTCGCCCACGCCCCGGAGCCGGAGGCCATCCTCAACTTCACCGAGCTGTACCAGATGGAGCGCTCTGCCTATGCGACCATGTTCGGCCCCACGACCGACGACTTGGTGCGTCTCGGCAGCACCGATCTTTGGATTCGGGTTGAGAAGGACTTCACCGTGTACGGAGACGAGTGCAAGTTCGGTGGTGGTAAGACGCTGAGAGAAGGAATGGGCCAAGCGACGGGCCGGCCGGATTCGGAGTCATTGGACATGGTTGTGACAAACGCGCTCATCGTCGACTGGTCCGGCATTTACAAGGCGGACATCGGTGTCAAGAACGGCATGATCTCCGCCATCGGCAAGGCGGGCAACCCGGACGTCATGGACGGCGTGACGCCCGGCATGATCGTCGGCAGCTGTACGGACGTGGTGGCCGGCGAAGGCAAGATCATCACCGCCGGCGGCATCGACACCCACATCCACTTCATCTGCCCGCAGCAGGCGAACGAGGCCGTCGCGTCGGGCATCACGACGATGCTCGGCGGAGGCACCGGCCCCAGCGCCGGCACGAGCGCCACAACCTGCACGCCCGGCAAGAACTACATGCGCGAGATGCTCCAGGCCTGCGACTCGCTGCCCCTCAACATCGGCATCACCGGCAAGGGCAACGACTCCGCGCCCGAGGCCCTGCGCGACCAGGTCCTGGCCGGCGCCTGCGGCCTCAAGCTCCACGAGGATTGGGGCACCACGCCCGCGGCCATCGACACCTGCCTCAGCGTCTGCGACGAGCTCGACATCCAGTGCCTCATCCACACCGACACCCTCAACGAGTCCGGCTTCGTCGAGTCCACCATCAACGCCTTCGCCGGCCGCACCATCCACACGTACCATACCGAGGGCGCCGGCGGCGGCCACGCCCCGGACATCATCTCTGTGGTAGAGCACCCTAACGTGCTGCCCTCATCCACGAACCCGACGCGACCTTACACTCGTAATACCCTGGACGAGCACCTTGACATGCTCATGGTCTGCCACCATCTTTCAAAGAACATCCCCGAGGATGTCGCCTTCGCCGAGTCGCGCATCCGTGCCGAAACCATCGCCGCGGAGGACGTGCTCCACGACCTCGGCGCCATCAGCATGATGTCCTCCGACTCCCAGGCCATGGGCCGCTGCGGCGAGGTCGTCCTGCGCACCTGGAACACGGCGCACAAGAACAAGGTCCAGCGCGGGTTCCTGCCCGAGGACGAGGGCACCGGCGCCGACAACTTCCGCGTCAAGCGCTACGTGTCAAAGTACACCATCAACCCGGCCGTCGCGCAGGGCTTCGGACATCTCGTCGGCAGCATCGAGGTCGGCAAACTGGCTGACCTGGTCGTGTGGGACCCGGCGTGGTTCGGCACCAAGCCCACCCTCGTCATCAAGAGCGGCCTCATCGCGTCGGCGCAAATGGTAAGCCTCACCTTCACTCACCCTCCACTCACCACGCCTTGTGACTGTTGCTGACTTCCCACCCAGGGTGATCCAAACGCCTCGATCCCGACGGTGCAGCCCATCATCGCGCGGCCCATGTTCGCCCCCCTGGT